AACTGCCCCTGGCTAAGTCATAATTATGAGAAAGTATCTCATAATTTTGAGTTAGCTAAGTCATAATAATGAAATACTATCTCATAATTATGAGATACAAGTTTTTTTTTTTTCAGAATTTTTTTTTTTTCAGAATGGTGGATATGAGCTTCCATACATGGGCCAGACTTATTAATTTATCTTAAAACATTTATGTGATCTTACGCAATATTTCTTAGGCTTTTTCTTTCATTCCAGACATGTTCAGTCCAGTCAGGGGCACCTTCAGAAAGTTTTAAGGGGGCCATTGTTAGACACTGGGTGGCACACCCACTTTGATTTCAACATTACAGCTGACATTACTAATTGAAACAACTGTTGAATTCATATTTATAAATTAAAGTAGCACTGAATGGAATAATTCATACCACTCTCTGCCTAGCATGCCAAAGTTTTCAAGCGGGGTGTTATACAAGATTGACATTTTTTGAGCTTTATATCATGTTATAATGTCATTCCCTCATCAAAAACTTAACCATTGTTGCTTTGACTCATGCATGTTTGAGAAATCCTTGAATGGTAGCCATTCAGAGATGYCTAAATGATTACTCATACAAAGCACCACCTATTTACACAAGGCACCTCCCTGGAGATCTTATCACCTGAGCTCCCACCCCACAGAGCACCCCTTCCCTAAAGCACTGTTGTGAAGACATGCTGAAGTGGGAGTGTCAGAAACGGTAGGAGTTTCTTAAAAAGACAAGGGCCAATTTCAAGGCGTTTAGATGGGCTGATACAAAGTTAAATGTAYGTATTTTTAGTACATACAGCATTTTCATGTCATACCCTTTTAAACAAAGGTCTCACCAAATCTGCTCTAAGTATGTATTGAAGATCAGTCTCGGCTACTACCATGCCATATCGTTTATAAAATTTACTTGTTTTTGTGTCAGCTAAAATTGATTAGCTGTGGTAGCCATCTTAAAAGTGGTTGACCCCAAAAGTTAAGTTGTAGGTTTAGACTTCAGATTAAAAGAAATTAGAAACACAGTTCTGCTGTAAAACCAAATTACGTTTAACAAGCTGCTTTTCTTAACAGATCAGAAACCTGGAAGAAAACCTGAGAAGACGAGAGGCTCTTGCGCTCGAAGAGAGGACCAAAACGGTGAGTCGTCAAGATTTAGTTCATCTACAGCCAAAATGATCGTAAACGACATGCCTGTCACTCTCCAAAAGACTCCTAAATATTAGCGAATGAAAACGCAAGTGCTGGGAAAGTTTCTGTGGGTTTTCATTTCAGACGATGACACTGTCGTGATTTACGGCCCATTTCTCAAACCTGTAGCATGTCAAAAATGTTCTGCGCTGTCTCTTAACAGCTGTCTTGTGTGTAATTATGTTCGCGTTGTGTTAAAAAAACAACAACCAAACAAGACCGTCATAAAATGCAAAAACAAAGGCCCACATTCCGAGTTACATGGCCTAATGTTATTTTAATCCTTGTCAGAAGCCGCAGAGAAAAAGCATAATTTAAAATTGCTTGCTTGGGGAAAAGACACTTGCTGGTCTTGATTGTTAACCATACTTCAGCTGTCACTCTTTCGTTTCGAAAGCCCCCTTTAGGTTGCATAATGTACACTTTATTTGACTCATACCCTTACTGACCTCTGTTTCCCAGAGCTTTTAAACTCGCATGACAAAGTGACTAAAACGTTCTGAGAAACCTTTTTGCTTCGGCACGCAGCTGTTTTCCATCCACCAGCCTTTATTTCATGATAGTAAAACTGAGCTTCTGAAGGATGAAAAAAAGGAGGCCCGGTCTGGAGCGGCTTGAAACGACCCAGTTTGAGACGAGCACGGAGATGTCACATTGAGAACAACGCTAAAGACTTGCTGCTCGTGGCCTTTTTAATGTTTGCCGGATAATAAAACGGTTCTCTGTGGTAATGGGAATGCAAAAGCCTGAAAACATGGTAAGTTCAGTCAGCCAAATAATCACTCTGTACAGACGCAGAGACAGATGAAGGCAACGCTGATCACTTTTAACCCTAAAGTGGTGGCTACTTTTGGAAAACTTGCCCTATGATAGATCACATATGGGGAAAATTAGAAGATGGGAACCAACTTGTGTAAATCCCGGTGCCGTGATGTAGCTGAGCCTTTACGGAGTTATCTGAAGAATAACAATTAGGCTCAAAGTTGTAATCAGATGGTTGAGAACCTCTCATTTAGTCGTCATGTTCATGTTTGCGGGTGCGCGTGTCTCTAGTCTTCCATGATTTTGGTCACTTTGTCACATTTTTGCCCAGACTGGCTTCTCCACAGTAGCATCTTAAAGACATTTAAGATGGATGATTTGCGCTCGCAGCAGAGCTTTACCCTTGTGAACTCTGTTCTCATGTTCACAAGCGGCATTTGAGGAAGATGTGCAGCAACCCCAGCACACACAAGTTAAAGAATTAAGTGGTAGTTAAGTAGCTTTTAATTGTTGTTGTTGTTGTCTTTACTTGTATCTGTGAAGGCCAGAGACTTCAACGCGATGCAGAACGAAATGAGGAAACTGAAGGAAACAAACGCCCACAAGGAGCTGGAGCTCCAAATTGTGAGGAGACGGAAAACAGATCAAATATTCTCAATTGTGAGGACGTCAGAACACAATCAACAGTGGTGTTTTTGTTTTCTTTTGTTTGTAGATGAGAGAAAAAATGGAAATGGATGACAAAGAGCACAGGGATGACCTTGTCAAAATGAAGGAGAACTTCCTGAAGGAAAAGGTACGGAGTCTGACAGCACTACATAAAACCTGTTGTTCACATCTTTAAAAAATGTTTTATCTGCTCCTGGTTGACAAACGAGGATAATATAGTGGTGGAAAAACAAGCTCTAATATTAGTAAAATTGTGTAAATTTCCTTACAGGTGACTCTGCAGACAGAGCTTAAGAAAAAGCACAGTCAGGAGATAGAAATGTTAAAGCTGGACCACCAGAGAGCTATTGCGTGAGTGGGTTTTTTTAATCCTTTTAAACTGCACTGTCATGCAAAACGCAAAAAAAAAAATATTACTCACTTGTGAGTTTATGTACTTAAATATATATATATAACCAGGGCTGATGTTATTCTTCTGACCACACGCTGATGACCGTATATCTCCAGCCATCAAAATAAAGACGTGTGGAGGACCATAGTTTATTACGTTTTGAGGCCAAAGGATGTGCTGTTTTCACAGTTCAAGAAACATCAACATTGATACTGGTGTGTCCCTGCCRGCTTGGTCTTAGTGTCAGTAATGGACTTAATTTTAAACACAAAAGTCAAATAAACCCATACGGTAAATCCGGATTCCTGAAAAAGAGCAAAAATTTAGAAGACTTTTTTTGTTTTGCTTTTTCCCACTTGAACCATTTATAACATGGAACAATATTAAGACTGAAATGGTTTTAAACCTGGAGACAAGTTTCTTTGTGGTTCTTTTCTTGTTATTTTTTTTAGCCAAGTAAAAGATGCATTACAGTCGGCATTTAAAGAGCACTGCCATCTAAATCAAACACTGGAAAACACCGTAAAGGAGGCAGAGGACCTGAAGAAACTGACACATTCGTTGGCTGGGGAGAACCTCTCACTGACGCTGCAGAAGGTATCAAAACACAGCAAACATCAACTATTAAGCAGACAGAGCCCATTCATGTCCATAAAGCCATTCTCGTTACGAAACACTTGTCAGATCTGCACAGAATATATTTCAGTATTTTTTCCCCCTCTGGTTGTTTACTTGTGCTGACCCTGTGTATTTTGACAGTGGTCCCCCCCCCCTCCACCGAGCTCCTGACTACTATCCAGCCTCTCAGTGGTCAGCGGTTGCAGTTGGTTTTCCACGGGGTGTCTGGGTTGAAATTTACCAGCTAATAACTGAGCAGTTTGCTGGCTCTGATTTGTCGAGGAAAATAAATTCTGGGCACGTTAAATCTCCCCCCCCTGACCATCACAGCAAAACCTTGAGTAAATCCGCTCTGCTTTACACTTTGGCCATTCACTCAGCAGTACAAGTTGGAACATAAATGCTCTAGGTTTATGTCGATGTCAAATATATTTACGTAGCACATTAAAAACAACAACACAGTTCAAAAACTTGTGTCATTAAAACAAAAGTAAAAAATAAAATACAGAAACACTATAAAACCCCCAAAAATGTCAGCTATAATCGAACCTCAAGCTCTGCCTCAATCAAAAGCTGTAAAAAAAGAGAGATGGGTCATCAGCAAAGATTTTAAAAGCCTCCATAGTCTCAGCGGACCGAAAATGAAGATGAAGGTAAACCAGGACTACTCAACTAAATCGCTTCGGGGGCCACAGTTACTGCAGGTCAACAGATCAGGGGCCAAACAGCCAGCAATTAGTTATGATGTAAATAAACCAAGTATTACAAAGATCTCTTACCTTTGAAATAGTTTATTTTGCTGTATTTAATCATGAATACAACATACCCTATAAAAGTAGTGATAATTATCAAAAACAAAAATAACACATTATGCCTCCTATTTGACACAAATAATATTTTGACATCTCTGATTTGCCWAATTTAACCAATTTTATTTTCACTTTCATTGTTTTATCTTCAACAGCTTGCAATTTTAACTGTCTTGAGTGTGCTTACAAATGGTTTTTACCAGTTTCTAGCCAAGATTCTGATGTTTCTGTTAAAGATGCACAATATATCGAAATTAATATCGGTATTGGCCGATATTGGTCATTTTTCAGAATATCGTATCGATCCAATATGTAAAACAGGTCCGATATTAACGTCTGATATTGATTTCCCACTTTTTAGCTTTGTGTTTCTGTTTTGGGAGGGGAGATRGTTGGCTGAGTGGCATTTGTTTGATCATGATAATGATATTGATGCTGTGTAGCCAGGAATAACTGAAGTAGAGAGTCCTGTCAGCGGTCTGGTCATATATTTACGGTATCAAAAAAAGACCCAAGTGTGTTTGTGCGTATATGTATAATATAATTTGTGTGTTTGTGTAATATTGGTAAATATTGGTTATCGGCCATAATAGCAAAAATTATATCCGATATCGATATCGGTTGAAATTTTCATATCGGTGCATCCCTAGTTTTTGTAGACACTGAACATGTCTATGTCCAGCTAAAAGAACTTAGAGTAATTAAAGTAGAAAACCAGGGGTTTGGGCTTATGTTTTTAGGATCCGTTAAAAGACGAGTTGCTGCATTCTGGACAATTTGTAAGCGACACAGAGATGATTTATCCAAGCCAAGAAATAATGAATTACAATAATCCAAATGAGAAGTAATAAAAGCATTAATCACTTTGTCAAGGTCTTTACTGGCAATCAGTCTTCATTGGAAAAAGCTTGATTTTACAACTGTGTTTAAATGTTGGTTTAATTTAAAGGCACCATCAAAGAGATAATTCCTGACAGTGGCTGCACAACATTATGTTATGTTAGAAAAAAAAGTATTAGAAAATTACCTGTTTGTTATCTACTATGTTTTAATTTTACTTGTTTTAGGACATGCATGAGTTAACATTAAAGAATACCACAGCAGAGATGGAGGACTTAAAGAAGAAGCTTTCTGAGCTCTCGGCCAAAAACACTTCTCTGAAGCAGGCCCTTGAGCAAACTGAGGCGAAGCTTGAGCAGCAGGAGAAGAGGGAGAAGATGAACCTGGTCACCATCCAGGCCGGCCAGGTGGAGCTGGACAAACTGCAGAAGGTCCTCTCCATGCGGGAGGAGGAGATAAAGCAGGTCAAGCAGCTGGCGAGAGTCATTGTCGACAAGCGCAGAGAGGTGGAGAGCTTCTTCCACGAAGCCCTGGATCACGTTAGAGRGGAGATTGACGCCAGCCGACTGCGTTACAAAAAGGAGGCACTTCGGGATTACCAGAGGAGCTTAAGAGAAGCCACAGCAGGAAAGATAAAGTTCCCACCCATCCGCACCTTCAATAAAAATCCCAACAGTACCAATTCTGTGTATGCAGACATGGAGGCAGCTGGAAAATGGTACGTCCACTTCCCTTTTAATCTTTTCCACCATTTCAACCCCAGTGGTTGAATTTGTGATATTTTTAATTTCTCATGTTTGCTGAAGCTAAGTCACTAAGAGCTTGTAAAGTGCGAAATTAAACTCTTTCAGTTCTAAAGAAAGTAATTCTTTCTTTTTTTTTAAACCTCTGTTGAAGGTCTTATCCTCCAGGCAGTGACGTTCAAATCTCAGATTTGACTTGGGAGCAGAAAGAACAAGTTCTCAGTCTGCTCTTTGCTAAAATGAACGGACAGGCAGAAAGGTAATAAAGCATCTCCTACTGTGTGAGTGGCTCATGCTTGACTTGGCAAATCTATTGCTGGTTGCTTTTCTCACCGGCTGCATCTCAGATATCACGTTAAAATCCATTTGTCATCCCCTAAAAGGAGCAATGACTTCTACATCAATTAACTGTGAAGAACAAAGTGCAGAGACACCAGTTCAAATTGAAGCGGCTGACTCCTCCCTCTTTTTAATGCTTTAAACAGCCATTTTCTCAGCAGAAGAGGATACCATAAAACAYAAGTTAGACTTCGACCAATTTTCTTTTCCATCCAGCTGCTTTAAAAAAAAAAGAATGAAGAAAGAGTCTGGGCACAATAGTAAAAATAGGCCCAGCCACAAAGTCGTGTGCTCGGAAACAAACATCTGGTCACGTCGAATTTCTTTCTGCTTATTGGTCCCTCTTCACGTGCACAAGCAGTTCATTTTGTTCTTTGAACACTTGTGGTCAAAGAGCAGCTGGTAACATGATTTTCAGAAAGCACTGTGCGAGGGATATAGATGTATGGGACAGGGCAAGGAAAAAAAAGGAGAAGTATATTCATGTTAGCAGTGGTCTGGCATCCAGTGAAGCAGAAAAACACAGAACATTTGGCAAGTCAGGACGTTCAGTTAGCAGCATCCAAATCTGGTAGCATTCAGTTAGCCCGAAGTGACCCCCATTAGGACCGGCTGCAGGCCTGAGTCAAATGGCACGGGTTTGCTTTAAAGTGGACAAATCATGCTAAATCAACGTTTTTTAGCTGTTAAATACATTYTGTTGTGTACTTAGAGTCCCTACAAGTACAGAAAAGTTTAATTTAGTCTCTCAGTTCTGCGTAGTTATCTTTAAATTCTGTTTGGGTCATATTTTTCAACCTGTTCAGTTTTCTCTGTTTTCTATGACGTTTTCTGAACTATTACGTCAAATTATTTGCRACAGAATAAGGGTCTGGATTTACCAACTACAATTTCATCGTCTTCATTCTCCTCTGGCTTCGAGTCAGACTCTGGCTCCAACRTGTAAGGCTGGATGGACAAGTTTCTGCACCGCTATATAGTTGTAAACCCCCTCTGTCAAGCTAGAATGGACCACTCTGGAAGCTGGAGGGGGTGTGAAGTGCCTCGTTTGGATTTAACAAGTTGATTTGAGACACGGGTGAAAGAGGAGCTTCCAATAAGGAGGATTTTAGACCAAAACATTGCAGTTCCAYWTYATATAGACCTCAGCTGAATGATTAAGATGTGAAAACGAAGGRTTTAAACACGTCTCCTTTAAACAATCTTTTTGTCTTAGGTTAAACTGCAACTCTGCTTTTTTTTTTTCTTTCCCCCGATAGGAAGCACCACCAACATCTGGCCAATTGCGCCTCCTGCGAGAAGCAGAAAAGCTCCAGCTGACACCCAACGCTGCAAAGAGAAATTCAAAAAGAATGTACCAGAATAAAAGTTCTAACTCATCCTTGCAATTTTAGGAACCCCGCGCAGATTTATTGGTCCCASGCTGCACGAAAAGCAGCGGGTGCCGCATGATTTATGTCTTCCAGAATTAGAGACGAGCTCTGCCCGGCGATCATCAGTCCCCCCCCACCCCGTCCTCCATCAGGCGCCTGAGTCCGTTCTGCCCCCAACCACACCACATGACCTCGCTGTAGCCTCTACACTTCACATGACACTCCTGAATTGTTTTCTGTGTGGTTGAATATGAAATGTGTGTTTGTGTTAAATGGGCACATTTGGTGTGTTAATATTTGTGCCTGTTCAAGTAATATTCACCAATAATGGTTAGACTCTCTCCGTTCAAAAACGACATGAAGCTACTGATGTTTATGGGAAATTTTCACACCAAAATCTAACTTACAAACATTTACTGTAAAAAAAAAAGTATATTTACCATCTGACATTAGTCCAACCATGTTTTCTCATCTGCACAATTCCCAAACATAAACTGTTTGTTTTGTTTGTGGAATAAAGTCTCATCAGAAGCACTTGGGAGGACTTCACATCCCTTTCAAGGTTCCAAGGACTTTTCAAGGTTACATCTTTAGTTTTCCATTGTGAGGTTACRGTTTTGATCTGCGTGTAGAACTGAAAAACCCTGTAGAAAAACAAACATAAAAACCCCATCATGTTTACATCTCAAGTCAAGCGGTCACGTGTGTTTGTCCTTTCACGGTAAAATGTTTACTCGGTTGCTTACTTGTGTCCCGGAGCGTTTCCTGTTGCCTCTGACAGATCGTCTCRATCCAGCGAGGGAGAACATCAACAGAGGCTTAGGGACTCCAGCCTGCACATAAGAAGAATCCTCCCTTTCATTCCCCCCCAGAGGAGCCCAAACAGTTGGGACGAGCAAGGGTAGCCGATGAAAGACATGCGGTGCATCCGCACGGTTTTAAAACAAAACAAACCTACACGATTGCGACAAACAAAGCTGAACCTGCGGCTCACATCAGAAGCACGCTCTTATTAGAGCGACCAAAAACTAAATAAAACCTTTTGTTTTGAAAACTGAAGCCGCACAGTTTGGTTTTGAATGTTTGAAACAGCCGGAGTGAGTTTGGGCACGCCGAGGCCTTTTGGTAAAGGTGCGTGGAATGAAAAAAAAATAAAAGGGAAAGTAGATGTTTGTTGTTGCACAGAGGTTTGGAAAAGAGCACAGCACATGGCCTACACAACATTCCCCGACATGTGAACAGCAAACACAGGGCTCCACAGGCAAACAAACAGGCTGAAGGCTGCCCGTGTTTACGCAGAACTGTTGAGCGCAAACCTAGGAATCCCTTTTGACTCTTAATTTAAGATTTCCCTTCCCATAATATCACCTGGAAAAATGCTCCTGTGCCCCCACTGTTTTCTTTCAACACACACACCGTGTTTGCTTTATCTATTCGGGGACGTGGAGAGAACAGGCCTGCCTGTGGTGTGTACTTAAGGCCAGAAGCAAACAGGGACATACGTGACGTGGAAAGTCATCTTTTTTTAAATATGTGAGGATTTTCAAACAGAAGGATGAGGTGCTGCCTGCCTGAGGTGCTGCGCAGACATGACAGAGGGACGTGAACCTTTCTCCAAAAGAAAACGGAGGAGCACCTGTGGAGAAGGCGACCACTCGCCTGACGTCCACTTGCTGAGTTGCATTTGCGTGCCGTGGCTCCATTTGTGGTGGAGATGGCGTTCGTGTAGGGGTTCTCGTTGACCAAACTGGTGGTGTGCCTCAGGAAGAAGCACAGACTCGAAGATCTCTTTAACGTTGCACTTTAGCTCAGGTTGTGAGAACACAAAAGGTAACACTTTAATAATGGTGCTCAAACTCAAATGGGTTTGTTTTCTGCTTCTAAAGATAAATACACATACTGTGACTCCGCTGATGATAGTAAGGCCTGTTAAGTTGAAATTTTCGTAACCTTTGACCTTGACGTTTTGACCATCTAGGAGCAGCGCCTTCGTCTACCCGCTCTGGATCAGATTCAGACTCTCTTAGCGGCCCCACATCTGCGCCAGGCTGCTCTCCTAACAGGGGCCCCACAAAAAACAATCAGGTGTAATGTTACACACTATGGTACATTAACTGCTGACAATCAAAGGTTTCTCTTGCCGCAAGTACTCAAAAGTCGGGACAAGGAGAACCCTGAGGCACTCCCTCCTAAACGGATACTTGTGGGTTTCCAGTGCAGAACACAAATTTACTGCAACTGCACATTTCTAAAAACAGGGAGGACCGATTTCCATTTTACCTCGGCTCAACTTTTCTCTGAAAGGACCCGATGGTCAGAAACCGTCATTTAGGTCCGGACCACAGATTTGCAGCATGATTGACTCGACAAGCCAACGCTCCCAGCTGACTCCGAAGTGAAATTACAACAGAGAGCGTAGAGCGAGAGGTGAGGTTAGGGCGGCATGGGTGGCCCCAAAACCAAAGTGGGGCCCCCCTCCGGGTAGCAGGCGAGGTGAAAGGCGGGACGGCGGGTGTGGTACCTGCATTCACCCTAAGAGCCTTGGCACGCTCCACCAGTTCCGGCAGCCAGCTCGGGGCCTCACCCACCAGAACAGAGACATGCTGTCCTGTGCCCACAGTCGTCTTCAAAGTGTTCCTCTGCATGGCATCAGGCGTCGCCACAAAACGATTCTTGGCCTCCTGCAGCACAAGAAGGAGTGTTTGATCTTCACACTGCAGCCACTGGTTACTCACACATACACAAAGTATATACACTGTAACTGGTTTGCACATCTGTACAAGAGGGCTGATTAGAAATAAAGGAATATGTTGGCCAATGCTGCCACCTTCTGGCTTTTTACAGCCTTCCTCATATTTCAAAGCTAATCAGTTCTCAGTTTTTTTATGCAGCGTCCTCTTTCAGGAGCAAAAAAAATAAAAAAAATAAGTTATTCAGTATTATCACAATATTAAAAACTGTCATTAATTTAATTAACTGAATATCTTTAAAATAAACAAATTGGACAGGCAGGTAAACTCAGTGGTGAAATCAAGTTTTTGCAACTAAGACTTATTGCTAAGGTGAAGCCATACCTCCAATCAAAGACCTTGAGAAAGTGATTCATGCTCTCATTACATCTCATTTAAATTACTGTAATTCTTTGTAAGTTGGTTTAGATCAGGGGTCTGCAACCTGAGGCTCTGGGGCCACATGTGGCTCTTTGGTTCCTCTGCAGTGGCCCTTCAAAAATGTGAACAAACATAACAGAATATACTGTATATTTTGTACACACAATAAATCAATTTATATGCAAATATGTGTTCAATATTAATATGAAAAGTAAAACATGTTAGCTCATGCTAGCTTGTTGTTTACTTTAATACATAACAAGGATTAGGGGAAAAAAATGCCTGAATAGTTCAGTTGTAATAGCTTTTGTGAAATTTAGCATAAACTATGCACAGCATTTTTCTTGTTTACATGAATATGGTCTTTTCATTTGTTCTGATGTGTATAAAAATAATGATAAATAATAAAACTCACAATACATTTTTTTGTTTTATTATGTCTCCTCCACTGGCTGTAAAGGTTACCAAAAAGGCCTCGAAAAGGCCCACGGACCACCACTTGATAATCATAGTTTTAGCTTGTTTTGCGGCTCTGGACACATTTCTTTAGTGCGTCAAGCAGTAGAAATGGCTCTTTTGGTTGTAAAGGCTGTTGTGAAGACCTCTGGTTTAGATAAATCTTTGCTGCATCGATTACAAGTTGTCCAGAATGCAGCAGTTCGTCTTTTAACAGGAACTAAAAAATACGAACACATATCCTCGGTTTTGGCTTCTCTCCATTGGCTTCCTGTTCATTTTAGGATAATTTTTAAGATTTTATTGCTTACTTTTAAAGCTTTAAAAGGTCTGGCCCCATCTTACCTGTGTGATTTCATTAACATCCACACTTCAGTTTAGAGCACTTCGGTCATCCAACCAGTTTCTCTTAGATGTTCCTAGATCTAGACTAAAGCTTAGAGGCGATCGGGCCTTTGCAGTTTCCACCCAATGGTTTACCTCTTGTCATTCAGTGTGCAGAGACTGYTGAGACTTTGAAATCYCTGCTTAAAACTCATTTTTACTCCCTGGCCTTTCATTCCGGTAGAGTTTGAGATTCTTTTAAAGCTAATGTTTTTAATGTTCTTTTTCCCTATTTTAAATTGATCTTATTGTTTACATTTTTGTGTTTCTCTGTTGTTTTATTCTGAATTGTGAAGCACTTTGGTCAACTTTTGTTGTTTTTATGTGCTGTATAAATAAATTGACACTGWCATTTAAACAACACTGACCACAGTATTTCTGGACTACAGTCTTTTCTCCACTGCTGCTCTTTGAAACAAGTTTTTCTTTTGTTGTGAACATCATCACATTTTCTGTATAAAAAWWTTTGAGACACTTACATGACTKGAGTGTAATGTTTCCACGTATTAATTTTGTGACTTTTAATACTGTCAGAATTTTCAGACTGACTTACAATATTCTCCCTGATGGAGCAGAAAGATCTGAACCGAGCCAAGATGGAGGTCTCTGACCAGGAGTGAAAAGCTCCAGAGCACGAGTCTACAGCAGCCTGCATCTCCTCCTGAGTGCATGAGCAATCACTTCACTGGTATCCTGCAGAAGAGAAAAAAATCAGGAWGGGACTTTTGCAAAAACGTGCATGTGAAAGTTTAAACCATAAAATAAAACACACCAGCCAAGATCCTTACAGGATTGTGAATATCAAACCATTCTGAAGATCCACTTTACAAACTGCCCACCAGTGAAGGAGACAAGTAATAATCTCTGCAAAACYATTTGATTTCAAATATTAACCTGAGACAAACAACAAAGGACTGTTTCACTCACCACAGAGAAGGAGGGGTAGTGMAAATGTAAAACTTTAGGTATGATCAGAAAATCAAAATATGAAACCTGCACATCTATTTTCATTTGCAGCTTCKTGGCTCAAACAATTATATAAGCAACTGCAAAGGGACAAATTCAGACTCAAGTCAGATAAAAAGGCATTATAATTCATTTTGGGATTTTTAAAAGGAGAAAACATAAGTGAGGGAAACTTCAGTTATATTAAACTACTGATGCAACCCAGACACAATTCTGCACTACATAACTTTATAAAAAAAAAACAGCTAACATGTCTCTGTTAGTTAAAACTCAGCACAGATTAATCAAATTAAAGATTACCTTAATTCTTAGTACTGATGCTGTTGATACCTTAGTGAAAATATTATTCTAGGCTGATTTGGTTTGTCTACTTTCCGAGGTATCATAAAGAATTCAATTTTCCTCTCTAAATTAATGGACAATAAGTGGGCGGGCTCTAAGAAAAAGTCGACTGGCTATTGGCTACGTGTTCGTCTGTCCACAAATAGCACAACATGAATGGACAGCAGTCAAAGCCTTTTGGCCAATCACCATCTAACAGAAAGTTCCGCCTCGACCAGCTATTGGATGATAAGTCTCTGTTAGTAACGCCGTAAACTAAAGTAATATTATGTAACTTGAAACTGAAYTGTGGCCAAAATTTCATACAAACAAAAGAAAAATCAGTGCAGTAACTTTGTTAAACTTGTGCGCCATTTCTACTTTTATCTTAAAGGTTTAAAAAAAGAGTTAATTTCGAAATGTGCAAAATAATATAGTTGCCTATTTGAGCAAGGAGTTAAGTGACAACCTCGGCTACAGCAATGCAGCTAACGCTAGCTAGCCTAGCTAAGGTACAGTAATTATATTTATTATTAGATGCTGTGTTTGTCTTGCATATCTGTGCGGTCTAGCTGTTTGATGTGAACCATGTGAAGCCCAGATGCAGCTTAGTCATGGACCAAAGACTAGGTAGGAGGGRGTTTAGGCACGTTTCTTATTGGCTGCTGGACGACAGGAACTTGGGGGGGGAAAAAAAACAAAAAAACAACAACTTGCAAAACTTGATCCACTTAAGTTTAGACCAAGCTAGTTCCAAAGAGCTATGGCAACACAAACTAAGGTGAACTAAGGCAAGGGGATGCATCACAAGACAATGCAACTATTTTAAGTTCAATATTTAACCATTTTTTTCTCCTGTTCAGCCTGTACTTCATGGATACTTCAGAAGTTCCTGTTCCTGGAGGGTCCGCATTGGTGAGTTATACAATAGGGTTGTTGAGCTGAGCTGTTGTTAAGTCATTTTAACATTAACAAGATGGTCCTCTTTTATTATGCCCAGCGTTTTCTCTGAAAGGCATCGAGTAYGACCAGGTTCCAGTCAATCTGATCAAAGATGGAGGTCAGCAGGTAAGTTTATTCACTGGTTTTATTTTATGAAAGCAAATAATCTGCTACATTATAGTACAGATATAACTTTATTTATATAGCACCTTACAACAAAGCCTTGCATCGACCAAAGTGCTTCACAAGATAAAACAAACAGGTCACAATAAATCAGTGCAAGTTAAAAACACAACTACAATAAAATAAGTTAAAGAAATATAAAATACTAAAAATTAAACATCAAATGCCCGTTTAAATAAATAGATCTTGAGTTTAACTCTGAACAGAACCAGGTCAGAGATGGCAAGCAGCTCACAGGGAAGACTATTCCACGCTGTTGGGCAGCGACAGAATAAGACCRGTGTTGTAAGAAATCCAGTTCCCCTGTGAAAATCTGTTCCCCCTACTGGTTAACCTTAGAGAGAATCACTGGTCCAGGCCTCCCAACACAGTGGGAACAGATCTTCACAGGGGAACTGAATTTCGCACACCGGTCCCCCTATTTCTTGCACTTAGAGCGAGGCACCTTGAGCAGATGTTGACCGGCAGACCGCAAAGCTCTGCTGGGTTCGTGGCTTTTCAAAGGTTCTGAAATGCAGGGCAGTGCGAGGCCGTTGAAAGCTTTAAAAACAAATAACGGCTTGAACTGTATCCTAAACTGAACCGGGAGCCAGTGCAAAGAAGATGGGACAGGAGTGATTTGTTTTTATTTTGTGCACTAAACAAGCATTTCAACAAATTAACGTTTTCWTAAAAAAAGTGTTCAAATGAAAAAAACAGACACATGCAGGGTTAAATAATGTCTTGACCTGACAAAGTTTCTGTGTGCTCCTCAGATGACAGAGCAGTACCAAGAATTAAACCCAATGAAGCAAGTGCCGGCAGTGGAAATAGACGGCATCACTCTCTCTCAATCAGTAAGTGGAACTACTGAAATGTTGTAGTTCAGCCTAAATAATTAAAATGAAAGTTGTTTTGCTCATGTAGCTTGCAGTGATTCAGTACATCGATGAGACCAGACCGGGACCTCGTCTTCTGCCTGCAGACCCAAAGGCACGTGCTCAGGTTCGAATGATAAGTGACCTCATTGCTTCGGGAATTCAGCCTCTACAGGTGAGCTTTAAATTTAGATTTATTGGTTTTGATTAAAAAAAAAAAAACAACCACGTAATAATTTCTTTTTGCATGTTTCAGAACTTGTATGTGCTGCAGAAAATAGGAGCAGAGAAGGCAGAGTGGGCGCAGCACTTCATTCATCGTGGTTTTCAAGGTTGGTGAAAGCTTCATTCTGTTTTAACAACAGTCCTTGCATAAATTTTGTTTCCAGTAGTGTTTAAATGCATAATTTCTCCTCCAGCTCTAGAGCCGATTCTGAAGAAAACATCTGGAAAATACTGCGTAGGCGATGAGGTAAGAGCTGGATGAACTGATAGGAAATTAGCAGAAGATGAGCTGCAGCACAGAATTTTTATTCTTTCACTACATTTCTCTCAGATCTCCATGGCAGATATTTGTCTGGTACCACAAGTCTACAACGCTGAGAGGTAAGTAATGAAACATTGTGTAATCTTCAGGAGACATTACTTTCAGGTTAATTTGTCACGCTGAACAAGAAGTGATCCAACATGAGTTTTATTGCATTTTGTACAAGATTATTTCACTTTGAGTTCAAATCTTTCTGATCCACAAAACACTAAAGAGAAGCATGGCTGTTTGTAATTTCTGCAGGTTTAAAGTGGACGTGGAGCAGTATCCAACAATCAAAAGAATAAACGAGACTTTACTTGAGACTGAAGCTTTCAAAGTGAGTCATCCATCTCGGCAACCCGATACACCTGCTGATCTCAGAGCATGAGATGAGTTTCAAACATGAGTTAATAAAGAGATTTAAAAATAAACAGTTTCATTTAATCAGTTTTAAATAATGAAGCGTCGAATTCAAAACATTGATCATATCAAATTTAATTTCAGTAACTCTCATTCATACAAATTCCTAGAGAACATTTAGAGCACAGTGTGTAAAACATGCAAATCACAAATTTGTTATGCAAAGTGTAGAACCTGAGCAAATCAGTGCTGGCAGCACACTGGTGCGTGTTGTATGGTAACAGTATGGATGATTAGGAATTAAATCAAGCGGAAGAAAACACTTATTTCACATCAGATCAAGTCACCCATTGTTGCCTGGATGTGGCCTGTTGTAATCTCCACGGTGCACCTGAGTGTGTCGCTGTAGAAAGAACCGGAACAATCGGACCCACCGAACACCAACAAGGTGCATTTAATGTTTGTGTTGTCAGCATGTGTGCGCTTCTCAGGCTGCACGGGGATGACGCAGCTTAGATTCACCACGCTGTGTCCCGCACGGGGTTTGGAGCAAAGCTGTGGAGAAGCCACTGAACTCCACATACAGGTGTCTGAAAAGAAATTTAATATAAATAATGCACAAATAGAAGCAACATTTTGAGCAGAGAAAAAATGATCAGAACTCACCAAGATTGAAGATATGCACATCTAGCAGCGCTCCTACTGCACTGCATCCTCCACTGATCAAAATCCTGTTATCCAGCACTGGAACGGCTGCATGAAACCTGTCATTTACATGGAAAAACATTTTATTTATACTATATGCTCTCAGGTGTGATTCCATGTTCAGCTAAACAAAATGTTAGCAATGCCAGGAAATTAAAAATGTTGAGATTTTAATTGGGGTGTGTTGGGGGGTGAAGCTAAAATATTGCTAATTAGGCCAAAACACYCAAGAAAACCAACAACCAGATGGTAATGCATGACGACATTTATCAAGGTTGATTAGTTTGTACACACCCTCTAGGCAGAGGTGGCATGTTTGCACTTTTCACAGCTGTGTACTCCATCATTCCTTCAATCAGAAGGGAAATTACAACCGTCTGTAAAAAATCAGGCCACAAAATTCACACCAAAAGGCATTCAATCAAATCGCCTCACCCAAATCTAAAACATGCAGATCATTTAGGTAGGTCGCAGTTTTCCGTCCACCAAAAATGACAAGTTTGTGAGGGAGGAGTGTAGCAGTGTGCCTGTAAATTAAGCATCGAGTCAGTCCTCAAAAAGCCATTGATGTGCTTAAAATAGAACGACAGCGTTCGTTTACGAAGACGACCGACCCGAAGCGAGGCAGAGGCTTGTTCCCCTCCACGATGGGTTTGTACCACAGCTCATGCTCAGGGTTGAAGATGTACAAAGCATTACTGCAGGACTTATCACCCAGCGAATGGCTTGGCTGGACTCCTCCGAAGACAAAAAGCTCTTTCTTGTAAAACACAGCTGAATGATATGCCAGATTTGGRACGTTTCCTTTAGCCTTGAAGAGGAGGAAATTCAAATTTAGCAACAAGAACATGCCGTGGAAAAAAAATCAAAGAGTTGCTTTCAGGAAGAAAACATATCAGAAATGAAAGCATGAAATAAAAATATACATGTTTATGCAAAACATGTTTTAAAAAAGGAGAACTAATAAAACAAGATTACAGAGAGACACTGAACCCCAATTTATATTTGGTGATAAGTGTTGATTAATGTTTGATTATTTGTTTAAACAAAATTTAAAAAAAAAACGTTGAATATATTTCTTTGAAAATATATTTTAACAGGAGTTGTAACAAACCCACCATGACAAGTGTCCACTTCCAGGTCAGAGTATTAAGGATGTACACCTCACCGTAGCTCTGACCCTCCTTCAGGCCACCGTACACATAGACTGCCTTCGAGTCTGGGTCGTAGGTCGCAGTCTGTCCTCCGGCACACGGGGGAACGGGTCCAGAAGCAGAGGAGTTCGTAGGAAACCAAAAGTCGCTGTCTGTAAAGATGACAAAAGAAACATGGAGAAATGTTTGGTAAAATCTGTTTTCATAGCCGAACAAACCCCACTGACCCAGCTCCAGCTTCCAGAGCGAGTCCTTGCAGCAGKTTTGATTTGAAGTTTCCCCTCCGATGAGGACGGCGGTATCAGGGTCACACAGACACATGGTATGGCACCACCTCGTTGTTGGACACACTGAAACTAATGATCTGTGTTTAAAAGAAGTGGAACATTCGAGCACTCGGATGTTATTGACAGGAAAGCTCAAACCTTCTCTGGACTCGTTTTTAATCTGCACACTCATTTCCTCTTGGCTGCTTCTGGACAACTTCCTCTTCTTCGTCTTGGGAGTCGACGACTGGTTTTTGTCCCCTGGAAGTCTGTCCAAGTCCTCAAAGCTCCATGGCAGGCGGCCTTGGCGACTAATGACCGCACGCCTGAGAGGCTTATTCTACACAACGTATTGCAGATCGGTTACCTGTCTCGTAAATCAGATAAAATGGAGTATTCATAGATAAAACAACTCACTGTGGGCCAAACTGCAGGGTGAGCAGAGTCACTGGTGTCAATTTTATTCACTTGAATCTCAGCACAGTAAACACTGCCCACGTGGGAAGAGTCGGGAGTTATCTGAAAGGATTTGCATGAGCTCAGCAACCGTGACAAATAAATCAAAAGTCAACAGACAACAAAACAGTTAAAGCCAGTCTCACAGTTTCAGCTCGTTGGCGTGACGTGCCGGAGCCATCGGTCTCACTGTGCTGCTCTGGGATCAGACATTTCCTCTGAAACAGAGAGCTGCTGAGGACACTGATGTTATCCTGTGGCTGATGAAACAACAACAAGCATCAAGAGTGTAACATTAACCCCATGATCTGAAGTATGAATACTTTGTTTACCTTAAATTTTGGTTATCTGTACTTTACTGGAGTAATTCTTTTTCAGCTAACTTTTTATTTATACTCCTTACGTTGAAAAAAAAAAAAAGAGCCTCAATCTTATTTCATTTTGACTTGTTTTAATTCCGGTTTGTCATTTAAAAAGAAAATTTAGATATCTGGCTCTTAACAGGTAGAGTGATGAGATCTGCGGCAGAGAGTTGAATGTGGAAGAAACACCAGTCCAGGGGTGGACTATCCTGGTCCTCGAGGGCTGCAGCCTACATGTTTTACATTTTTCCCGGCTTCAACACACCTGATTGTCACTGAACTACCTCTTCCAAGTTCTGCAGTATGGAGGAGTGAAACTGACATAATTAGAAATAAAAGCAGAAATAGATAAATGAATCTTTTAAATACATTTAAAATGCACCAAATAAATTAAAAAGGAGAATTTTACCTCATGTTTTATAATTTAATTGACCTTCATATTTATTTTTCCAGCTTAGTTCCAATAAATTATATATTTTAAACACATAACTTAGTTTTTCCTTTTACTTGTACATGAATTTGTGTCTCTTGATTTGAATTATTTTTATAATTTTGTCCAACAGGTCTTTTTTTTCTATTTGTTGCATGTTTGTGCTGCCACAGTTTAGCTTAAAGTTTATTTAAAAATAAACGCACAGGTAATGTTTTCCTCCTTGCCTTTGTTTTAAACTAAACTTTAAAACTTTTAGCTAAACTGAGGCAGCACAAGCGTGCAACACATAGAAATAAAAAAAAAGACTTGCTGGAAAAAAATATAAAAATAATTAAGTTTAAACATTTAAGACACACAAATGCATGTACAAGTAAAAAGGAAAAACAATATATATTTTTAAAAAAAAGAGTAAAATTTTAATTGTGTTCAAAAGATATAGACTAATTTATTGGAACTAACCTGGAAAGATAAATTTGAAAGTCAATTAAAATTTAAAACAAGAGATAGTTCTTTAAATTTAATTGGTGCATTTTAAGTGTATTTATTTACTGGTTCATATAATCCTGTTTTTATTTTTAATTATGTCAGTTTTGGTCCTGCGTACTGCAGAAGCCTGATAATCATCTATTCATTCATATCAGGTGTGTTGGAGCAGAGAAACAAGTAAAACTTGCAGGGCTGCGACCCTCCAGGACCAGGACTGCCCGCCTGCACCATCTAAGAGTTTTATTGCCTTTAGAAAAATGCTTTTTGGGGGAGGTGGGGTTGTGCATTGTAGACCCCTGTGGCACACCCTAGATTTTATCCTTAATGGCTTTTTCACCCCCTTACATTACTTTTATATTGTAGTTTTAAAATCAGTATTTTTACACTTTTACCTTAGTAAAAAGCTTGAGCTGATACTTCTACTTAAAAATAAGTCTTTTTAAAACCCTTGTATCAATGAACGTGAACACTTTTGACACTCATTTTTAAGACTTTTACTGAAATAATTCTATGGTAAAATACTTGTACTTTCACTCAAATATCACTTTGAAATATTTTATAAAAAAAGAGTGAATACAGCTGTGTGCAATCATCTTGAGTCCTCCCTTAATTTCTTCATGTTTTGCTTCTCAGCTTCACTCCTAAATTTAGGTCAACATTTGTAAAGATTAACTGTTTTATATGCATTTTTTGTAAGYTTCAGCTTCCCTTCAGTACCTCTTCACAGACCTTCAGCACAATCTTGCCATACACTCCTCTCCTGCCTCTCTCTGCAGCCACCGTGATGATGTCATCGCTCCAGTCACCTTCCCAGGTCAGACACCTGAGTTTAGACGAGAACTCAGCCTTTTCCTTAATATTAAAATCAACTTGTTCCCTTCCTCCTCTGTCTCTAACACTTACTTCACTWGAGAGGACAGAGTCCCTATTGTCTGGGCCGGGACGTCCTCACAGACCAGGACTTCAGCTGACAGTGTTGTCTCGCTCCATGGCCACTGTCCAACACCAAAGACGACCAGCTGTTTGGGAAGAGGCAGCGGGACGTGGACTTGAAAGCGCTTCCGGTCAGTTTTGCTGCCGTAGAACCAGACAACCTTTTCAGTCCCGTTTTTTTGGAACATTAAAAACGACATGCTTGGTTTATGTTGAGCTACATACCAGCTGAACTGCCGGGGGGCGTCRCGCAGGGACCAAATGACGTAAAAGTCCAGCTTCCCCATTTTGTCTGAACCACACAATCAGTGGTGAAACAAGATAGATGCGAGGTTGCCTCTGATTGGTTGAAACTACAGCACACCTGAGAACGAGGAGCAATTAATAGAACCAGCTCAGGAGCACAGATGGTTTCAAATGCAAACATAAGGAAGCAGAAATAAGGAAAAATACAGAAAATACTGGTTTAATTTTTTAGGTGTATAAATAAATATGATGATCTTATGACAACTTACTGAAGAAAATTTGTCAATTATTCTATTTTAAAATTTTTTAAAAGGGAACTATTTTATAATTGACCATAGCTGCTTGTTGCAACTTTTATGTTTGTTAAAATTTAAAATGTTTATTATGTTTGTATAAAAAAATTAGCTTTTCCACATTTATTTTAGCAAATATACAGAGGGGTCTGTAGGCCTACACGGGATTTTTTTCCTGATTGCAGTTTAGGAAAAAAATAAGAAGGCAGCAATGGGGAAAAAATATTATTTTGGGGTCTGCTGTTTTTTTGTTTTGACAGCACAGAGCTTCCAGCCAGAGGGCAATTTTCTAAAAATGCTGTTGTGCAGGGTGACTTCTCTGTTGTGCAGGGTGACTTCTCTGTTGTGCAGGGTGACTTCTCTGTTGTGCAGGGTGACTATAGAGTTATCTTCAAGCCCGTCTCATGACCCTGGAACTGTGCTGATCCATCACCAGCTGTTGGTGTTAAGTTTAGTTTAATAGTTTATTCATTTCAATTGAAAAACAAAAATTTCAATACAAAAAAAAAAATCTCATAAAAACTGTTTACTGATGATGTGATAAAGATGTTTAGTGTGAACATTGTTGCCAGTGGATTAAACTGAAAGTGTTTTACTTTGAAATATGAAAGAATCCATTGAGATCTGTTTTGTTTCTTCAAAATTGTTCACTAGTGAATTAGCTTTAGCATATTTGCTTTTCTTTTTATCTTCTTATGCTACAATTACTTTTTCCTACCGTTCTATTTCTAATTAGTTAGSCTTGTGCTATTTTCAGCTTCTAACTAGCTTTTTACTAACATTTTGCTGTTTTTAGTGTGGCATACCTCATTTTTTTTGTTTTAGCACTGAGCTAGCTTTTTGCCATTTTTAGTTTTTAGCTAACGTTTCTGCTTTTGACGCTATTTTAGCTTTTAGTTTGTTTTAATACATTTAGCTTTTAGCAAAGAGTTTGCTGATTTTAGAGTTTTTACTTTAGCTTTTAGGTATCTTTTAATAATTTAGTTTTTAGCAAAAAAATATTCTGCTTTTAATGTTTTGCTAATAAAGCTTTTATTTAGTTTTAATGCATTTAGCTTTTAGCAAATATTTAGCTGCTTTTAATTCAAGTTTTACTAGAGTTTTAGCTAGCTTTTAAGAAGATTTGCTTTTAGAAAAAAGTTGCATTTAGTGCTTCTTGAGCTTTTAGCTGGTTTTTCAAAATGTAGCTTTTGGCAAATAGTATGCTGCTTTACTTTAGCATTTAGCTAGCTTTAAATACACTTAGCTTGTAGYAAAAAAGTTGCTTTTAGTGTTTTGCTTCTATAGCTTTTAGCTAGCTGTTTTGCTACTCTCAGCCAATATTTTGCTGTGTTWTCGATACTTTTAAATTCTAGAATAACGGTGCTAATAATTGTTTTGTTTCCAATTTAACCTCCATCATGTGCAGTATGGAGCAAGAAGATACAGTATATACTACTACTTTTTATCATATTGTAGCACAACTTGTAGTTTCCGATGTTCAGATGGGCTTTTAGTTAAYCTCAGAAGTAAAACATTTGTACTTGCACCACATTAGGACAATTTAAAACAGTCCTTTTGCTTTTAGGAAGCATCAGCGAGACTAAATGCAACTTTAGGATTGTAAATGGCCTTTGGGGAGCACTGAAAATAAACCAAGGTTTCATCATCACTTCTGTAACAATTACATCAATTCCTTGGAGCTACAATTTAATGGAAGCACAAGGGAGCCAACCTTAAAGTACACGCTCTAATCCTGGACCTGCAGAGGGACCTGTTGTGAAATGACAGCGACACRGCAGGCAGATTTAACAGTGAGACTACATGCATCCGTTTTTCCAAACTAACATTTTGTCATYCTCATATATACCCGCTTTCACCTAATCATTGACAAAAGAAATCTACACAACCTTCTCTTTATTGTGGATTATAAATTTCAGGAACAAACATCAACAGTTGAACGGTACAGCAAACATAGGAGGTTTTAAATCTGTTGCTTCATACTGCAAACATTAGCAGACAAATCTGGGACGTCTTTGGGAACATGCATGAGTTAAAGTGTCAATTTCACAAAGATGGTCCAACGCACAGAATACATAAACAAACAAAAAAAAAAACTTTTAACTGAAAAACTTGTGCACAAAACTCAACTTGGATGAAACACTGCCTTCAAAACAGCTAATTAAAACACAGACAAAGCTAAGGTAAATATTGAATCTATATTACATAAGAGCTTTTATTTGTGTCATAAAAAGCACACCCTGAAAAAAAACTCACATTAATACAATCGATATACTTTTTTTTTAACCAACACMACTGTGACAGCAGACAGAATTAAACCAGCTTCTTATGATTATAGATTCAACACATCAAAACATAAGTTACAGCACAGAGCTGAGTGACTGATACGGCAAACAGCAACAACGCAGCAGAGTAAGGTGCATACAAACAGACAAGACAGAAAAAAACTTCATTTCTTTACAGCATGTTTGATTAATCACCTGGCCTGGTGTGCAGGTGTTCCCTGATCGCTGCTACCATAGAAATGTTACAGTTCGAGACAATATAGCTTTTATGATGGGCGCCTGACCAAACAGCACAGCGCAGAAACGGGAATATGGCACATAGGCAAGTCCTCTTTAAATATATTCTAGCAAGCCACTTAAGCAGGTGATGCAATAAAAACTAACCACACATGTATTGGACACAAACAGATAAAAATAGATATATTTTGTTTTATTTTAATCTATTTTTTCTCTCTCTCTAAGTGTAAAATCAAAAATAGTTCATAGTCCGTAAGAGTAATAGTCTTCCATAAATCAAACATTCACGAGCAACACGCTGGCGTCTCAGGCACTGTAATAAATATTATAATAGAGAGTTTTGTTCCGCCAAAGGGAGTACGAGTTGTCAAACTTGAACAGGTAAGTGCCTTCACCTGGAAACTCGTGACTCCCGCCGTGGACGGACAAATGGCTCTCCTGACGGTACACRGGTAGGAGTTCGGCCAAGTTTGATTTGGTTTGACTCTTGGAGCCTCTTTCGACGTCGTCATTGCTCAGAGGTCCTGCAACACAGATCACACAAACCAGAACGTTAGCATGCTACTTTGATAATCACTGTGGGGTTTATAAAGCATTTAATATTATTTTAAGAACGGCTAAAATGAAACGACCTTAACCCGAGATCAGTTTGAGCTTTAAAGTCTGAACTGCGAGCTGACCTTCCGGTTCCTCCTCTTCGTCCTCGTCGTCGCTCGACTCACTGATGTGCACCGTGATGGCCCTGCTCGTCGCAGGAGACGGGTCGAAATAAATGCCAAAGCCAATGTCGTAGCCATCCGTGGCGAACTCCCAGCACACTTTTTTGGCCTCGGGGACGATGGGCACGTGGACGGTCATGATGTCGCCTCGGTACACCGTCACCACGCTGTCCTTCTCCGCCCGGAGCTTCGCCTTCAGCTCCTTCAGGGCAGCAGATGTCCAAGTCGTCGGGGGCGGCAGGGGCGGCATCTGGGCTGCGATCGGACAGAACATTCAGTCACACGATAAACTGACTTCGCCCTATTTGTAAGAAAACTCTGCATCCAAATGACGGAATAAAGCAGCAGCCTTGATGGCACAAACAGCAGGTTCTCACCTTTCATCTCAGAGGAGAGCTGACAGCTCCCAGAACTGTTGTTCTCCTCGCCTCCTTCCCTCAGAGCCAGCTCTGCAGGAGCCTCTTCATTACCCTCAAAGTGCACACACATTTGGTATATTAGAACAACAACAAAAAAAAAAACAGGCCTTTCATGTGCATTCATAATCACTGACAACTCTTTGTTTACTACCTTGGAAAGCTGTCCTGAATCCTGAGATTCATCCATATCAAGTTGGTTTCTGCACTGAGTAAAGCTCTCTGAAAGGTTTGTATTCTGAAGCCTGTAAGTAGAGAGAGAGAGAGAGAGAGAGAGAGAGAGAGAGAGAGAGAGAGAGAGAGA